CTGTTGTGCTTGCTTTATTTTGCTCATTTTTTTCCTAAGGAAGTAAGAAACTAAGATTATTGATTTGAAACCTTTCCTTTTTCTAATATAAAGATTTCATCCAATAAAATTTCTGATAAAATTGCTATAGCTGCATTACATAGACTATGGTACTTTGGAGTTTCATTTTCATTCAGTTCTCTATAGCTTTTAACTTAATGTGTAATTTTTTTTTCTTTGTCCTAGAGATTACTTAGGTGAGTGCTATTTAATGTTTCATCTCTGGAAATTTTCCTTCTGTCTTTCTGTTGATTTCTAGTTTGATTCAATTATGGTCAGATAATGTATGCATTCAGTTAGTTTATGGTTGTTGAGATTTGCTTATGATCAAAGATACATTCTGTCTTGGTGATGTTCCATGGATGCTCGAGAAAAATGTGTATTCTACTCTTGGGTTCAAGTATTCTACATGTATTTTAGATTATGTTGTTTGTACTGTCCTTGGTGATTTTCTGCCTAGTTGTTCTATCATCTTGAAAAGAGTATTTATGACCTGAATACAGCTTTGTCTATTTCTATATTCACTATTAGTTTTGCTGCAAATATTTCAAGACCCTGTTATTTGGCGCATATACTTAAGATTTTATGTTTTTAGTGTCTTCCTAGTGGTATGATCTCTTTATTTTTATGTATTGTCTTCCTCTGGTAATATTTTTTTTGCTCTGATATTTATGTTGATATTTCTATAGTCATTCTTGATTGTGTTCTCAAATTGTTTTTATTAAAAACTCCACTGTGTATCCTTTTATGTCTTTTTACATCCAACTTACCTATGCTATTAAATTTCAAGTGAGATTCTTATAAATGGAATATATTACGGTTATTTTTTATCCACTCTGCACATTTCTTTCTGTCTTTTAATTTCGAATTAAGCTATATGTTGACATTTTAGTACTAAGTATTTTTATTTACTTATTCTTCTAGTTTCAGCTTTGGTTTCTCTGTTTCTTTGTTTTCTTCTTTTGCCTTCCTATCCATTCTTGAACATGTTTAGCACTACTTTATTTCTGTTGTTTTTGGGTATATTATTTGGTTTTTATTCTTTACTAGTTTCTTTGAATATTACAATATGTATATGTGACTTAACACTGTGTAATGGGATCGTTTTCTTTACCACTTTGAAATATGGAAACCTTGTTTCCATGTAGGGATCTTTACTGTCTTAACTTTTAAATATTTGATTGAATACACTGAATACCACTTGGTATTTTAACATATGATTTACAAAACTTATGAGGAAAACATTTTTCTTTGTCTGAATCTAAGATACTTTTCCTTTGCCTTTTGTTTTTAGAATTTAATTATGGTATGTATTGCTGAGGATTTCTTAGGGTGTATTCTATTTAGGGTTTGCTTACCTTTTTTAATCTGTTGAGATTCAGTCTTTTGCCACAGTTGGGAAGTTTCAGCCATTTTTCTTCTCTCTTCTGGTACTCTCTACAGATTTTATGTTTTCTGATACTTAATATTTCTGAGGCTCTTGTTTATTTCATTTTTTCAGTTTATTGTCTCTCTGTTGTTTGCATTAGGTAAATTCTAATGATGTGTCTGTCCTCAAGTTCATTGTTCTAGCCTCTGTCATCACTATTCTACTATTGAGCTTATCCAGTGAGTCACTTAGTTATATGTTTTCTTCATTCTACAATTCCTATTTGATTTTTTATAACCTCCATTTCTTTTCTACTACACAGGTCTTTTAGGATAAATGAAATAACAAATATACTTCATCTTTAGAAGTAATGAGAAGGTGACAAACCCTTAGAACTCATTTCAAAGACTTTCTTTTCACAAGAGAGTTCCCAAGGAAGATACTAGGATAGGTCTTCCTAGGGAATTATATTTCTAGAACTCATTTCCCTATGTTTAACCTTCAAGACAATTAGAGTCCCTGAACCCATGGTTCAAGTGGATCCCAAACCAGCTCTTGCTGTTAACGAAACTTGGCATTGTTCACATTATGCTGTTATGATGTTGCAGGTATGCAGAATGCCAGAGTTATGGGGTCATATAGGAGGATTCCAGTGAGATTTCAAAGGAATGCCTGGAAAGCCAAGCAATATGTGACAGGATTGTGGTCCCTGCAAGTAGTTCCTGAGTGGGTAATGTATGAAGCTATGAGAGTGAAGCCAAAGCTGCAGTGTAGAACTCAAGAATTTAAAGGTGCCAGAAACATGGAATGCCTGCCTAGGGAAGCTGTAGGCGGTGAGTAGAGGCAGTCCAGGAGAGTTGTCAAGTGGGCTGCCACCAATGAGGTCATACAGGTGGGACTGTCCAAGTCCTTTGTAGCTCATATTATGCCAGTGTCTGTGCCAGATGCTGTAATTGGAGATACAGGAATTAATGTTTGCTTTGCTGAGCTTCAGTTTTTGTTTCAATATCTCCTTATTATTTTCCCATTATTCAATTTTGGAATGGGGATATTTAACCTGTGCTGATTTAATGTTTGCCCTGCTGGGTTTTAGTCTTTCTTTGGTTCATTCCTCCTTATTATTTTCCTGTTATTCCATTTTGGAATGGGAATTACTCTGTGCCATTGGATTTTGTAAAAATGTAACTTGTTTTTTGGGTTTTACAGGGGCATACAGCTGAGTTTGCCTTGAGTCTCAAAGAATACTTTGTAGTTGGACTTTTCAGCAATGCTGGAACAGATAAGACTTTGGGAACTGTTGAATTGATTAAATGCATTCATATTATGAGGTGGATATTAGTTCTTGGGACTGGGGAATGGAATACTGTAGTTTAGATCTTCAGTGTCCCTGAAAGGTTCATGTATTAAAAGTTGGTCTTCAACCCATGGTGCTTTGGGGAGGTGGTGGACCCTTTAGCATGTGGAATCTAGTGGAAATAAGTTATATCATTGGAGGTGTGTCCTTGAAGGGATATTGGAATCTTTATTCCCGCCTCTCTTTACTTCCTGGTGCATAGACCTCCTTTGCCAAATGCGCTCACCGTGATGAACTATGCTGCCACAGGTCCAAAACAACAGGGCCAAACAGCCATGGACTGAAACCTCTGAAACCTTCAGTTAAAGAAAACATTTCCCTCAAGTTGATTATCTCAGGTATTTAATCACAGTAATGGGAAGCTAGAGTAGGAACTATCAACAGAAGATCAGAAGGCATGAGGAAATTAAAAAGTCAAGACATAAATATTTCTCCAGTCTCACACTTTCAATCTTTAGATTGATGATGGCTGATTTGTTTATCTAAAGGCATCTATCTAAGCTCTTGTTGGGTGACTCTCTACTACATATACTAGACATTGAGTTAGGAGAAAACTGCCTCTCTCTGTCCCTTTAAGTCTGGTGAATAACACTGGTTTCTTACATTTGCTACCCTCAGGGTACCTCATCATGTCTTCATTCTTTATACGTTTTACTAAGTATTCCCTTGATTAAATGCCATTCTATCACTGTTTTCAAGTGTGATGTCTATTTCTGGCTAGGGCCCTAACTGAAACAGAGGTAGCAGGGAGTAGGAAAAACTTTAAGGTTGTGAGAGGGAGTGGGATTAACTGCTGAGTATAAAGGAAGTGAAGGGTTTTGAGGCTTTTTAAATCATGCTATTAATGCACTTTCACTTCTTTATGTCAGTATGCCAGTGACTACAACAGATGCTTACATTGCTTCTTAATTATTTTGGTTTAGTTGTTATTTGTTTGCATGCAGAAGGATAGGGCCATGAGGTGTTTGGGATTCATATGATTAGATAAGACTGTTGGGATTTGTTTGGAACTTATCATGGTAAGACACTTCTCTCTTGAAATCAGAAATAGCCCAACTCACTGAACTTGCTAAGATTCTATTGAAATTGAATGATTTACCATGTTGTGGAATTGTTCTTTATTGTCGGGTAAGACACCTGTGTTAGTGATATTTTCCTAACAGTGATCTTTTAAGATATCTGGCCTGAACAACTTTAAAGAGGAAAGATTTATCTTGGCTCACAGTTTCAGAGGTTTCAATTCATGGTGAGATGGCTCCAGTGCTTTCGGCCTGAGGTGAGGCAGAATATCATGGCAGAAGGGCATGGTGGAGGGAAACTACTCAGCTCATGGCAGCTAGAAAGCAGGAAGGGTGGGAAACAACGAGTTTGGGACAAGATATATCTCTAAAGGCATACTCCCATTCACCTGCTTCCTCCAACCATGTTCCACCTGCCTACAGTTGCCACCACCTTACTGTAGTCCAGCTATCAATGGATTATTCCACCAAATAGGTCAGAAAACTCAGTACCCAATTACTTCCCCAAAGCTCCACCTCTGAGAATTGCTGTATCAGTGACTAAACTTTCAATACATGAGTTTTGGGGACATATTCTGTCCCTGGCACATCAAAACTCATGCCCATCTCACAGTGCAAAATTCAGTCTACCTCTTAAAGAGTCCTCATAGTCTTAACAGTTCCTGCATTGCTCAAAAGTCCAAATCCAAAGTCTATCCTGAGACTCAAGGCAACTATTAGCTGTGAGCCCTCGTCAAAATTGAAAAAATAATTTATATGCTTCCAAAGTACAATGGTACATAGCAAACATTCCCATAACTTACTCCTTCCAACCATATCCTGCCTGCCTATAGTTTCCACTACTTCCTAGTAGTACATTGTTATCAGTGGATTAATCCATTGAACAGAACATTCAGTTATCAATAGATTAATCCATTGAAGAGGTCAGAGCCTTCAGGATCTGATTACTTCATAAAAGCACCACCTCTGGACATTGCTGCATTCGGCACCAGGCTTTCAACATATGCACTTCTGGGAGACAGGTACAAATCATAGTACTGCCTGCTTCAAGTTGTTAATGTTTTCTTTTATTCTCAAACAGAGAGAGTGGAAAGCAAATTGTTCCTTACAGAACCAAAGATTCAATTTAGGTGGTTATTTTAAACATTGCTCCAAAAGTGAAAATGAAACTAGTGACTGTCCATCACTTTAACAGTTTATATAGCTGAATATTCAGATCTCAACTAGAATTTTTTCTGCCATCAGAATCTGTTAGTTCTCTGCGACAAACAGGACAAGTAGAGTACTCAGACAGCCAGCGATCGATGCAGAGGATATGATATTCGTGGGAGCAAGGTAGTATGCGGATCTTGTTGTTTTCTCTAAATTCTGTAAGGCAAATACTACAGGCTTTTAATGTATCATCCTTTTCAATGTTTCTTACTGCCAAGTCGTCAATCTGTTGTTTGGTAAGTCCTGTAGGCTGGTTATGATCTTCATTTAAGATGAAAAACTGAGCTAGGAAGGGCCAAGAGTCACTTTTATCAGATGTTGCTGGTGTTGTCCGTTGACTTTCTTGCCTGGGTTGTGATGGTGAACTTGATGATACATTTATCTCATTATTGCCTTCAAATATCACTGAGATAATTTCTGAATCATCATTACTGGAGCTGGAACTGGATGTAAGAAAGGGACTAGAACTAGACAAGTAGCTGCTGCTTGAACTGGAAATTGCTGGGGAACTTGAACGAGAATCCCAGCTAGGATCTGAGTTAGAACTAGAAATAATACTGTCACAAGAATCATCTCTTTCATTCTGTGACTCTTCCTTTTCCATGTGTTGACTTAGGAGTAAGCTGCTAGGCTCTAATTGATTGTCACTGTCCAAGAGGTCACTTGATTCATCAAATTCTGTCATATGCCATAATGTTGTCTCATTTGCAATAGGTGCAGGTATTCTAATGGTATTAACAGAAGATCTCATACTTTCCTGCTCAGAATGTGAAAACCTACTTCTGAATTCTTCCTGATAATTTTCTAAAGTGACAGTGTTGTTTGGTGTCTCAGGTATTAACTGAATTCTACTAGCTATGCTATCTCTCAGCAAAAATTCTCTAGGATGATCATCAAAAAGTGTGGATGGATTTCTTGGTCTGAATCCTTCAGATTAATTGTCACTGGATGTGTCTGAAGAATTTTCTTCTAGAAAGGCATTCCTTATTGCAGAAGCAGAAAAAAGATCCTGACTTTGCAATTCAGGTCTGGTTATTTGCCCTCTCAATGCCCCATTCTGCTGAATTCTAGCATATATCTCTCGCTCATTTATCTGAATACACTCATTAATCTCAGTTGATGTACAATAATGAAATCTCATCAACATTTCATGCTGTCTATTTGGGGGTGAACTACTTTCAATTCTTGGTCTGGTTCTCCGAGTTTCTGGGTTTCTGCTTCTTGATCTTCTCTGACCTCTGGTAGATGGGATTTCCACGAATGTTTCAGTTGCACTTCCATCTGATATAGAAGCCCTTGTAACTATTGAGTCAGGTGGATTTTCCACTTCACTCTCTCTGTTTTCTAGTGTGATTGGATTTCTTGGTCTGAATCCCTCAGACTCATTGTCATTGGTTGTATTTGGAGAATAGTCTTCTGCAAAGGCATTCCCTGTTGCAGAAGTTGAAGGAAGATCCTGACTTTGCAATTCAGGTCTGGTTATTTGCCCTCTCAATGCCCCATTCTGCTGAATTCTAGCATATATCTCTGGCTCATTTACCTGAATACACTCAAAAATCTCAAGTGATGTACAGTAATGTAATATCATTACCATTTCATGCTGTCTATTTTGGGATAAACTACTTTCAATTCTTGGTCTGGTTCTCCGAGTTTCTGGGCTTCTGCTTCTTGATCTTCTCTGACCTCTGGTAGGTGGGACCTCCATAAAGGCTTCAGTTGCATTTTCTTTGGATCCAGATGAACTTGTTTCTGTTGACTCTGATAGTGGATTTTCCCCTTGCCTCTGACTGTTTTCTGTATATTCTCTTTCAAGAAGTCGTACAAAGGTTAAATGTCCAGTCTCTTGATCTGGGCTTCTATTAAGAAGGTTAAAGTTCATTCCTCCACTACATCCAAAATCACTATTGCTTGAATTATTTGAACTTGTTGATGTCCAAGATTGATTATCTCCTTGCTCCCTTTCTGTCATATTTTCAGTTTGTCTAAAAGTGGTAATCCACCCTACTGTAGGATCATCACTAGATGCATTCTCTGAAGAGTTTCCTTCACCTGTTACCATAAAAAGGGGAGGAAGTCAGAAAGGAACTACTAAAATTGAAATCATCATAAAATAGTACCCTGAAACTTTGTTTCAGAAAAATAACAAAAAAAAATGAGAGCTTAAAGATTCAGATATTAGGGGCTGGCGATATAATTCAGTTGGTAGAGTGCTTGCCTCACATGCACAAGGCTCTGAGTTCAATCCCCAGCACCACACAAAAAAATTCATATTTAGAGAGTTAATACTTTTAAACACAATATAGTCTAGATTTATAATAAAGGCAAGTTAGTCTCAATTACATTTGAAACAACTGAGGTAATCCTAGATAAATTCAGGTATTTTTTAAAGGGATCTGAGGATATCTATTTTTGATATCATCATATACAGAGCCTCACATTGCACTGTGAAGAGTATAGAACAACACATTGTCTTCAGTCCTCTGTCAAGATAATAATACAATCAAACAAGATAAATACCAGTGAAGAAGATTCAGTGATAATATTAGATCAAATTATGTTATTGTCCAATTTTCATTAGTCTAAAACACTACTTCTTCTAGACTCTTGAAGTGCTTTTTATAACATAGATTTTTTTAAAGTGTAAGACGATGATAGGCAATGGCAAAATTAAACAAGGTTTATATGTTTAAAATAATTTCAATAATTCTTAATTTTCCTATGATATAGAATTGCCATGAAATTGAAAGCTGGGCTTGGTGGCACAAGCCTGCAATCCCAGAGGCTCAGAATGTTGACGCAGGAGGATCCCAAGTTCAAAGACAGCCTCAACAATTTAGTGAAGCTCTAAGCAACTCAGTGAGACCTGTTCTCTAAATAAAATATAAAAAAGGGTGGGGATGTGGCACAGTAGTTAAGCACCCCTGGGTTCAATCTCTGTTTTTTTTTTTTTTTTTTTTTAATAGATGGAACCTAACACAAAACATGTAAAGTCATGCTCAAGAATCAAACCATTATTGTAGACTCTTCATTGAGTACATATAAAGCTATGTTTGAGAAGTAAACTATTATAGTGTCTCTTTTTTAGATAGTAAAATTCCCTGTTTCATATTTGGGAAGAAATGAGTCCTGAGGATATAGCCAGGTTTTTCAACCTTGACATTTGGAGCTGGTTGACTGTTTCAAGGAGCTGTCCTGTGTATTTCAGAGGTTATTGGCCAGCATTCCTGGCCGCTCCCCAATTGTTGAAAGTAATGTCCCCCTTCCTATTTCCAGTTGTGACAACCAACAAATTTTCTCAGAAATTTCCAAATGTCCTCTGGAGAGGGGCAAAATTTAGAGATGTGACATTATTTTTTGCTAGTTAAGAAATCACATCTGGGAGGGAAGATGGCGGCGAGGGGAGTGCATTACCCCCGTGTGCTGCTTCACTGTGTGGGAGTATGACAAGTCAGGACGGCTAAAGGATATCTTGTTAGGAATTTCCAGCAATAGTGGGGTGCGCCGGAACCTGGAGGAAGGATTTCCATCGCATGAGGATCGGCTACGGGGACTCAAACGCGAGAGGTTTGTCGCACGGAGGGTAAAACTGCTTATTCAGCAAATCGCCCCGCGGCTAGAGTCTGCAAGGCGCGCTGGGATAGAGACGCAGGGTTACAGCGCTGCAGTTTCTGCCAGACGCGCAAGCACCGCACTCAGGGCTGAATTCTGGGTTCGAGACGGGGAAGGAAGCGGTCCATCTCGGTTCTCCACACCGGTCAGACCACAGAGGAGGCCAGCAGCCACCATGTTGGTAAACTGACGTCACCACACCTGTTTTTGACTGACCGCAGCTCATTCAGCCATAGAACAGGTAATTTCAGGCTGCAATTCGCCTGCGGCTTGCAGTCAGATTGCTAGGGTTCAGCGCCTGGGGGCTTCTTAGAACCTGATCTTATCGGAGTGAACACGGAGCGCGGGGCGGCCGAGTCCCAGCTCCCGGAACCGTCCCGGAACCGCCCTGGCTCCGGGCTGCGGAGCCTGCGGAGGCTGCTTCTTGGACCCTGCTAATATCAGAGCAAACACGAAACACCAAGAAGCCGAATTCCAGCTCCCGGAACTGAGCCCGCGGGGACTGCTTCTTGGAGCTTACACTTATAGGAGCTTACACCGAGCACAGAGCGGCCGAGTTCCGGCTCCCGGAACCGTCCCGGAACCGCCCTGGCTCAGGGCTGCGGAGCCCGCGGAGGCTGCTTCTTGGACCCTGCTACTATCAGAGCATACACCAAACACTAAGCGGCCGAATTCCGGCTCCCGGAACTGAGCCCGCGGGGGCTGCTTCTTGGAGCCTACACTTATAGGAGCTTACACCGAGCACGGAGCGGCCGAGTTCCGGCTCCCGGAACTTCCCTGGACCGGGGCTAGGAGCCCGCGGAAACTGTGTCTCGGTCCGGGTCCTGCTGAGGGCAGGTCAGGACTCACCCATTGCTTGGGTTGCCTGGCAAGGGGAACGAAATGCTGCCATTCGCATAGGATACCAACATGGCAGAGATCTGATGTCAGCAGAAAGCGGTGGAGGAGAGATCTTCATCAATACCAGCGGTGACATAAGCAGTTGGTCTCCTGGTAAGGGGGGTGAGGCTCAGTCACCCGAGTCTCCTCAATTTGTCCTCGAGCCAGAGGGAAGGAGCCGGGCCGCCGCCAGCCCCCGGAGCAGGCCCAGCGGATCGCCAGCGTGGTGACCGCGTGACCCCAATTGGAGAGGGGGCGGAGCGGAGCCGCCACCCACACCCGCCAGGTGGGCAGACCCACGACCCAGTAGTACATGGGCGTGGTAGGAGGGGCAGGGCAGAGCCGCCCTTCGCGCTTGCAAGGTAAACAGACCTGTGACAGCCTGGCGGGTCAGGCCCAGTGGCCTGCCAGTGTGGTACACACATCACCCCAACTCGAGTAGGGGCAGAGCAGATCCTTCTCCCACGCCCGGATCAGGCCCTGCCGGTGTGGTGGTCACGTGACCCCAATTGGAGTGGGGGTGGAGCGGAACCGCCACCCGTGCCCGCAGGGGGAGCAGACCAGTGATCAACCTGCAGATCAGGCCCAGGGGTCCGCAGGCATGGTAGGAGGGGCAGGGCAGATCTGCCGCCCGCGCCTTCAAGGTAGGCAGACCTACAACAGACCGGCGGATCAGGCCCAGGAGCCTGCCGGCGGGGTACAAACACCACCCTAATTGGAGTAGTGACAGAGCAGAGTCGCCTCCCTTGCCAGGAACAGACCCAGCATCCTGCAGGCGGGGTAGTCACGACACCCCAATTGGAGTAGGGGCAAAGCAGAGCCTCCACTCGTGCCCGAAAGGTGGGCAGATCTGCGACCGACCAGCAGGACAGGCCCAGTGGCCTGCTGGTACGACAGACACGTCACCCCAATTGGAGTAGGGGCAGAACAGAGCCGCCACCAGCTCCCAGAACAGGCCCAGTGACCTGCCGGCGTGGTAGCCACGACACCCCAATTGGAATAAGGAGAGAGCAGAGCCGCCGCCCGCACCTGCAGGAAAGATACGCAAGCAGTATGAAAAGACAAGGAAAGAAAGGACCACAAGCAATGCAGGTCAACGCAACTTTAGAAGAGGTAACAGCTGCAGCAGATGGAATGTCAGATAAAGAATTCAGGATATACATGCTTCAGATGATCTGGAGTATCAAGGAAGACATTAAACAGCAAAATCAGACAATGAAAGATCACTTCGACAACGAATTACGCAAACAAATCCAGGAAGCAAAGGATCAACTATACAGGGAGATAGAGGTTATAAAAAACAAGCAATCAGAAATCCTAGAAATGCAGGAAGCAATAAACCAACTTAAAAACTCAATGGAGAATACTACCAACAGAGTAGAACACTTAGAAGATAGAACATCAGACAATGAAGACAAAGTATTTCAACTGGAAAAGAACATAGACAGCTCAGCAAGACTGTTAAGAAACCATGAGCAGAACATCCAAGAAATATGGGATAACATTAAGAGACCAAACTTAAGAGTCATTGGGATACAGGAAGGTACAGAGCTCCAAACCAAAGGAATGAGCTGTCTATTCAATGAAATAATACAAGAAAACTTCCCAGACTTGAAGAATGAGACAGAATCCCAAATCCTAGAAGCCTACAGGACGCCGAATGTGCAAAATCATAAGAGATCCACACCTAGACACATTATAATGAAGATGCCCAACATACAGAATAAGGAGAGAATTTTAAAAGCTACAAGAGAAAGGAAGCAGATTACATTTAGGGGCAAGCCAATCAGGATAACAGCTGATCTTTCAACACAGACTCTGAAAGCTAGAAGATCCTGGAATAACATATTTCAAACACTGAAAGATAATGGGTTCCAACCAAGAATTGTGTATCCAGCGAAATTAAGCTTCAGGATGGAGAATGAAATTAAAACCTTCCACGATAAACAAAAGTTTAAAGAATTCGCAGCTAGAAAACCATCTCTTCAAAACATCCTAGCCAAAGTATTACAGGAAGAGGAAATGGAAAATAACAATGAAAACCAACAGTGGGAGGTAGGACAGTAAAGGGGGGGGGGAAACAATCAAAGAGGAAAACAAACAATGTTTAGTAACAGAAATAAACAAATATGGCTGGAAGAACAACCCATATCTCAATAATAACCCTAAATGTTAATGGCGTAAACTCACCAATTAAGAGACACAGGCTAGTAGAATGGATCACAAAACAAGACCCAACAATATGCTGCCTACAGGAGACGCATTTGATAGGAAAAGACATACATAGGCTGAAGGTGAAAGGTTGGGAAAAATCATATCACTCATATGGACTTCGGAAACAAGCAGGCGTGTCCATACTCATATCAAATAAAATAGATTTCAAGCCAAAGTTAATCAAAAGAGATAAAGAGGGACACTACATACTGCTTAAGGGAACCATACACCAACAAGACATAACAATCATAAATATTTATGCCCCAAACAATGGTGCAGCTATGTTCGTCAAACAAACTCTTCTCAAGTTCAAGAGTCTAATAGACCACCACACCATAATCATGGGA